TTAACCAGTGTTTTAGCAAAATTCATGTTTAATTTGGTTTGAATCTCAGCTCTGTCTTTCATCAGACCAGCAGGATGAAAGCCCTTAGGAAAGGTCTCCTCGTGGGGCCAATTTGGGCCTGTTTGTAGAGAGATTTGATCTCCCCTGAATGTGTGCATGGCCCCCCTCATTGTTAGTGCCACCGGCTTCCCCTCTGGGACAATAGTGCCTCGAGTCCTATCTCCCTCCTTATCTCTCTTCTCTTCCTAGCCTGTATCCCTAGCAGGCAGGGAGGGCGGGACCTTTGGGAAGAGCTAATTATGCAGATGGAGGATCGAGAGGTGCTGTGTCAACCAACATCCCTTTTCTGGGAAAGGGGACAAGAAGAGGGAGCCTGTCCCAGCTCTTCCCTGCTTGCTCTCCCCTCCATGCTCCTGTAGGCCCCACCAGGAGGTGCTGTGGTGGGATCAAGGATGTTGCTCTCTGGCCCCTCAGCCATGCTGGAGCAGCATCAGTGGGTAGCTCACCTTGCTGGGGCTGCGGGTGCGGGAAGAGCAAGGTGACCATTGTTTGGGATGCTGGAAGTGTCCATGGTGGAGGCTGTGGGTGCGCTGGCTGACCTGATCCTCCACCTCAAGTGAAGCCATGAGGGATCAAGGTGGGATCCATCCTTTGTAAACCCATCTCTCCATCTTTACTTCATTGTGTTCAAAGCCAGAGCCTGCAGAAAGGACACTCCAAAGCTTGCTTGACTGGAGCATGGTGGTCACGAGCCAAGTCAGCTGGCTGTTGCTGGTGGGGGGGTACTGTGGGCCCTGTGAGGTGGGAGGGTCCCAGTGGCAGGGACAGCATTTTTTAAGCTGCCCCAAAAGCACAACAGCAATTAGGAGCTCTGCTTTAGATTTTGCCTAAGCCATGAGAGTCTGCTGGGTCCCTTCCTTCTGCTGGTGAGGAAGTTAACAAGAAACCCCTTGCTTTCCACTGCAGGTAAAAGAAAGTGCAAAAAAGGCAAGGAAAGTAGATGTAGAAAAGCAAAAGGGTGGGGAAGAGGCAGTTGTGGAGCCAACTGTGATGGGGGAGTGTCTTTAAATCAAAGCACTCTTCTAAAAAGAAAACTTAAGTCCAGCAGATCTACTCAGCAGTCAAGTTCTGACTTTTTTTTTCTTTTCTCAAAGCTATGTAATAATCATTAAATGCAGGGGATACTTTGTAAAATAGAACTCAAGAGAAGGGGGGAGGATGGAGCAGAATTTAAATTTAAAATAGGATAGAGATACAAAGCCCCTTAGTTTGCCATTTCGTCTTAATGCAACTGGAGCTGGGCTTGACAAGATGCTGCCCAGAGCCTGTGGTAAATGTTTTACGGTACCGTGTATCAGCCAGATCAATTCTACTACGCTTGAGGGAGTGCAGATAAAATGGCTTAAAGATTCCCCTGCTGAAAGCGATAGTATCATCATTTATGCTGCAGAAGACAGATTTAGTTGCCTGACATTTATTTGGCCGCGGTGTACTTTGCGAATTTCACACCCGGGGACGATAGCCAACCTGATGATGTCAGATATGAGCTGCAAGAAAAGGAAAAAAAGGAAAGAAAAAGACACACAAAAAAATAGTGCTGTTCCTCTTTGGTCAGCCCGGGTGAGTTTTGTGAAGTGTCTTGGTTGTTTTACTCCACGGGGCTCTTCAGTGGACAAGAGTAGGATGTTACTGAAATGGTATGTCCTGTGCGTGCTTTGTGGTACGAAATGGCGGCAGAAATACCTGTTAACTGATGTGATTTCTTTCAATCCTGTCTGGCCTGTAGGTCACTCGAACTCCAAACTGAGCGAACATGAGCGCGCTTGATTTGACATCCATCCTTGATTTCCTGGAAACAGCCAACCTGACGGAGATCAACTGGACGTGCAGCAACGGCGACTGCATCACGGTGGATGCGACAACATGCCCTGGCACGCTCAACAAAAGCGCCCTGCTCTACACCTTGTCCTTCTTCTACATTTTCATCTTTGTCATAGGGCTGGTGGCCAACTCGGTTGTGGTGTGGGTCAACCTCCAAGCCAAAATGACTGGCTATGAAACCCACCTCTACATCTTCAATTTGGCCATCGCCGATCTGTGCGTCGTCATCACCCTCCCTGTGTGGGTCGTCTCCCTTGTCCAGCATAACCAGTGGCACATGGGAGAAATCACGTGCAAGATAACTCACCTTATATTTTCCATCAACTTGTACAGCAGCATCTTCTTCCTGGCTTGCATGAGTGTGGACCGCTACCTGTCTGTGGCCTATTTCACCAACTCCAGCAATCGCAAGAAGAAGATAATCCGTCGCTGCATCTGCATCCTGGTTTGGCTCCTGGCCTTCTCCGCATCTCTCCCAGACACCTATTACCTCAAGACGGTCTCTTCCAGCAATGAAACCTACTGCCGTCCCGTCTATCCGGAGGAGAGCTTCAAAGAGTGGCTGATTGGCATGGAGCTCATCTCTGTCGTGCTGGGCTTTCTTATCCCCTTTCCCATCATTGCTGTCTTTTATTTCCTCCTTGCCAAGACCATCTCTGCCTCCAGTGACCAAGAGCGGAAGAGCAACGGGAAGATCATCTTCTCCTACGTGGTGGTGTTTCTCGTCTGCTGGCTGCCCTACCACGTGGCTGTCCTGCTTGACATCTTCTACAGCCTTCATTTCATCCCCTTTAGCTGTCACATGGAGAACTTCCTGTACGCCACTCTCCACATCACTCAGTGTTTCTCTCTAGTCCATTGCTGCATCAACCCCATCCTGTACAGCTTCATCAACCGCAACTACCGATACGAGCTCATGAAAGCCTTTATTTTCAAGTACTCTGCCAAAACAGGTCTCACTAAACTCATTGACGCTTCCAGGGTGTCGGAAGCGGAATACTCTGCTCTGGAGCAAAATGCCAAATGACTGCAACCCCATGAAGAAACCTCCCTGACTCTCTGACCTGGTGTTTCCTTGTGTGTTGTGGTTTGTTGTTTATTTTTTAACTCCCTCCTTTCCATGTGCTTGTTATGAACGGGGCATGAATTCCAGCCTACAAAAGAGAGAGCAAAGTGTAATTTAAGAGTAGAATCAGTTGCAAAGTGGAAGTGGTACCAAAATTAAAACCTTTCCTCCTCCTAGCCCAGTCTGGACTTCTCAACAACGCTATGCAAATGGAAGTGACTTCCTAGCAGACAAAGCCATTGTGTACCACAAATAACACATATTTCCAGGATAAGCTTTTCCTTCCACGTGTAGATTCCCTCTTGTCTCCTTGTATGTGTTTTTATATATAGTGTGTTGTATTTAAAAGCTCGAGACTTTATTTTCTGGCTCTTGGTGTACCTTATACAATTGTATTTGAAAGTGAAATATATTTTTATCATGTATTTGAAGTATATTGCTGATGAGTGTATCCAGAGTGCTGTAGTCTGAGTGTTAGATTGCCGTTTGGTTTCAAGAGGATGATGATAACCAGAATGGAAATGGTCTCTTAGGTGCATCCTCCCTGGCTGACACACTTTATCGACCGTAGCTTTATGTGGTGTCATACCCACATGTCTGGAGCATGAAATGTATGTAGTGTAATATAGCTGCCATCATGTTAAAATTAACAGTATTGTCAGAGTCATTAACTCCTGTGCCCCTGCTTCACCAAGCTGTGTCCTGCACAGAATGAATGATCTTACTGCTGAGAGTTGTCTCTATTTGTAAGTTATTTTTGTAAAATAAAGATCTGCAAAAAAAAAAAAAGCTATGCCTGCCAGTGGTTTGACTTGCCATGCTCCTCCTCCTCAGGAAAAAAAAAAAAAAGGCAAAAAGAAGAAATCCCAAGGCCACCCTCTGTCCTTTGGTGCAGGAGCAGACAGGTCAGTCGGTGTTTTCCTGGTGTTTGTTGGCAGTGGCCAGAAACCACTGATGGAGGAGTGCGAGACGGCACCGGTGTGTGGTGACTGGGGAGGGAGTGGGAGGAGCAGATCTGTGGAGGGCTGTGCTGTTGGAAAAGGTAAAACTGATGGATTTATAAGGTGAAAACCGTTGGGAGTGATGAAAAGCTGTGTTTTTCTAGCTTAGGAATAAACATGTGGAGGAAAACTAAGCAAGCGTGCAGATGGAGCAGATATTTGGACTAATCCAGGTTCAGTGCTCTGTGGGTTTTGCTTGTGATGGAATTGGGGGGTTAGTGGTCCTGACAGCACTAAATCCCTTTTAATCTCCTCTTCCATTTGTTATGGTTTGCATGGGCAGGATGCAGCCGCTGTGGGACCCGTGAAGTGGAGCTTTAGGCCAGCGAAGCACTCGAGTCGTGGCTGTCTCAGGACAAGGTATTTAATGTCAACTCGATGATGTCTCCTAGCCGTCGCTGGGGTGTGTGTTTTACAGCTCCAGCACAGCGCTAACTGTGCTTAAATTCCTGTTAAATCCAAGCATGCCCTCCTCTCTCTGTGATCCCAACTGCCAAAATATCTTGACTGTGTTTTTGTTTCTTTCTCTGTGTTCCGTTACTGCCTCCTTGAAGGTTAGGCTGTAAAAATAGATGTTTACCAGCGCTGCCAAATCTGCCATCCCCTCCTTGTACTGGTGTTGCTAAGAAAGCACTGGTCCATCTCCAGATGGGAAGAAATCCCAAAAGAGAGAGGATTTCTGATGGCAGAGAAGGGCAGCTGGTGTAGCTGTGACAACGGAATGCCAATGTAGCTTTCTGTGCTGATGCTTCTTTTAAGCAGTGGATGTTTTGAGCTTCCTGTGAGCCTTTCTTGAGGTACTGCTGAACTGCAAGGAAAGTGCTCCCTCATGCTGACAGATAAAATTGGTTAATGCTGAGAAATTAATTTCCTGCTTTAGCTGGGCATTGTTTCCCATGCCTCAGCATCGCTCTGTGTTCTCTCCAAAGGTGCTGGATACGGCTCTGGCACCCCCCCCCATCCACCTATGGGGTCTTGCTCAGTTTGGAGCAGCAGAACTGTTTCAGATCAGGTTCCCTCTCAGACATTGTGTTGTTTTCACGTGGTGCTGTAGCTGGTTTGGATTGGCAGAAACTCATGGATATTTTTTTTCTCTCTGCGGTTTGGTATTCACAGCAGTGTCAGCCCTGGAGATACCCTGGGTGGTGCTGAGTGCTGGGGAGATCCTGCAGACCTGCTGCAGAGACCAGACTGATAAAGTCTCCAGGCCTCTTGGTGAGGTGGATCGTGATGGGACAGTGCCTTTTTGCAAAAGCAGGGTCAGACAGAGAGCAGGTAAAGGTCAGGACCTTGACCAACAGCTGTATCCTGCACACACAGGTCCTTTCCAGCTCCTCAGAAGGAAAGACCTGAGGCTGAGCACCCACCATGTTTCCTTGGCCCTTGAAAGGACAAGAGGAGCTGGAAGGCAGCACCCCCACACACCAGCAGCACTGGGCTGTGGAAGGGGGAACAAGGTCCTCTCCAGGGATCAGCACTGGTGGGTGGCCCCGAGGTGGCCATGGCCTGTGATAAGGGTGGTAATGGGCAGAGGGTGGGAGATGGGTGGAGTGCAGAACAGTGCAGGGGGACAGAAGGATGGAGTTTGTCGCTGTTGCATATTTCTTATTAGGACTTTGTTTTCGTGCAAAAAGTTCCCCAAAATCAAACTGTAGCAGAGGTATAATAGGAAAAAACATGTCTGTGTTCTAGGAAGCTTTCCTCATGGCTTCGTGTGATGCAATACCCCAGATGGTGTTTGTACTGAGACCAAAAAAGTGAATATGGACCCCTTGGAGTCTGATATGAGGGAATTTGTCAGCAGATAACAGGTGAGTGACAATGGGAGTTTGCAGATAGATGTGACTGTGACTTGGAGTGACTGATGTGATGGCAGCTGTCACCTTGTCCCAACTCTGGAAATTGGGGTGTTCAGGAAGAATTCAGGAAGAATTTCTTCATGGGAAGGGCAGTTGAGCATTGGAAAGGGGCTGCCCAGGGAGGTGGTGGAGTCCCCATCCCTGGAGGTGTCCAAGGAACGACTGGACGTAGCACTTAATGCTCTGGGCTGGGTGACAAGGTGGGGATTGGGCACAGGTTGGACTTGGTGACCTTGGAGGTGCTTTCCAACCTCCATGATTCTGTGTTATGAAGGGTCCCTGCTTTTCCTGCTGTGGCTTTGTGGCTGCCTGTGCCCGGGGATCTCCTTTGTTCCTCTGGCAGCTACAGTTGTATGTGGGGGTTCAGGTCTTGCCTTTGCCAGGAGCTCAAATTCACTGTTAAGGCTTGGGTGGAAAATAAGTAAAACTCAAACATAAGCCACGTTGGAGCGAGTCCTCCTGCTTAACTCTTGGGCTTTCTGGCTGAAAGCGTCTCCACGAGCCTGAGACAGGCACTGAGCAAATAAAAATATATCTGCTCTGTGAGAAAGGGTTTATTTCTTTTCTTACATAGAAAGTGCAGACCTGCTTTATTGTTACTTAAACACAGATTTCCTTTTATGAGCCATAAACGACATTCAGGTGTAGTACAGTGACTTTAAATCAGCTCCTCTGGCAACCATCTAGGTAATGTACTGTAAGGAACGCCCAACTGCCCTCTTTCTCCTTGTGCTAATTCATCGTTTCAGTGCTGCTGACTTTAGATACTTGCCTTTCATGAGTTCACTGAGCATAAAAGCCAGTTAAAGTTCCTAAGAAGCACGAAATAACTCAGCTGTGAGCAATATTGAAGCACGTGGGGGCGGTGGCGCTGCCAAAGCCAACTCTTTATTCTGTTTCAGAGAGTTTCTGGATGAGGAGAGTTGAGCTGGTACTTTAAAGGTGATGGGGTGTGGGCTGAGCAGGGCATGATGTGATGGGGGTGGGTTTTGGGAGGAAAGGATGTGTACAAGCCCAGGGTTTGCTTCAGCCTCCCTGCTCCGTTATGGTGTGTGGCTGAAGAGCATCCGAGCCAGAGTCTGCTCTGACTTACAGCCCGGATTTACAGTGGGATAATGCTGCTGATTTAAAAGGAGCTATCTGGATTTATAGGGCTTTTTATAAGTAGGATCAGGAATTTTAGCCATAATCCTGTGCAAATGTCTGGGTGTGAGTGGCGACGTGCACATCTGCATCACTAATGCAGTGTAATACCCACATCCAGCCCAAATGAAGGATGTAATAACAGCAGCACAACAGACAATAACAGTGAGTTTGCTTTCACAGAAGTACGTGCATTAAAGGGTTATAATGTGATTCAAACCAGGCTCACAAAGATCCTGGGGTGGATAATCCAGCCGTAACTCTAAAACATGTGGCTGACTTTGTAGCACCCACTGTCACCAGAAAAATCCATCTCCTTCCACTTTGGTAGTTGCTGTTTGAAAACAATTCATTTTTTTTCATGTAAGTCTCCATCTATTTGTTTTTCTGGCATCATGTGGAATACGTGCAAGGCCCTTGCTAAAGCTCTCTATCCTGGAACTGTGAAAACTTCATAGGGCCAAAGAGACACCAACATCCCAGTGATGTGAGTCCAGGGAGGCCACTCAGTCCTAAAATCTTGAGCAGGATGGCACTGGAGTGGGCATCACAGTAAGGCTTTTTTAGTTATTTACCTTACCAGGCAGGTCAATATCTTTACAGGGAAGCACTGGGAAACCAACCAGACTCTCAGCAGATGATGCTTCTTGACATCAGCTGGTTTGAAGCCAACTCTGATGATGGATGTTGCCTCTTGCCTTTAGGTTAACAGGGGAAAAATCCCAACCCCCTCTCATGTTTGCTCTCTGTACAGTGCTATTTCCAGACTAAAGAAAAAGAGTTAAATTACATTTTAACAGAACAATACCTACAACAGCAAAGGTCAGGAAACTTTTACATAAGGTCACCCTATCGATTGCAACAGTGAAAGGAGAGACATCAAATACTTTGCCATGAAAGGCTGAAAAGAAGTAAATTCAGCATGATATATTGAAACCCAAGTCTCTTTCATATGTGGCAGAGCCTCTGACATAGCAGGTTTACTGTTCAAGCTGAGATATGTTGCCTTGCCAACATATATTCTGAGTTACCCAAGCAGATTTAATGTTTTTGCAGTAGTGACTTTTCCCTTTTTTGGAGGGGACACTTTTCTTTTTCTTTAAAAAAAAAAAAAAATTGTTGCAGAAGATTTCAAACCTACCTAGGAAATGACCTTAATCAATTTAGTTCCACCGATGAGTATGAAAACTCAGATCTTTCTTTTTGCTTTCTCTAAACATTGTCTTGCTTGCATTGAGCAGGGTGACCGAGTCACAGCTTGAGAGAAAAGTGCATTTTGTTTGTTGTTTTGTTGTGGTTTTTTTTTTACCCATCCAAGTGGCAGCTCTGTTTTGTCCAAAAGGATTGACGTGACTGACAAGTGTTTTGAATTTCTAAGCTCTGAGGTCTCCAAATGCATGAAAAGCGAATGACACACACATAAAAATGTAAATCTTTGGAAAACAAGCACCAACTACAGACAAAAAAAATAACAATTCTGCAAAAGGGTGACAGACGCTGCATTCATTCTGGGGTTTTTTTTCCCCCTCCCTTTTTCTTTTTAATAAGCCAGTGTTTCTGGGCCACCTACAGGCACATTTGCGTCTCCTGCAGCGGGGAATCGGGATGAACAATGAGCCCAAGTCATGGGCAGGGTGGGTCTCTCTGCAGCTCGGGGTCACAGCTCCCATCACCACCAGCTCTCCGAGATCTGTTCCCATCAGCTCCATGTCCGTCGGGTGGTGCCGTGGGTTTTAGTGCAGTGGGCACATGGCATCTGGAATGTCCTTGTTGTTCAGAGCTTGGGCTGTGGGAGTCCCAGGAGAGTGAAACCACTGAGCTGGGCTGTGTCTCACCTCCCAGCCCTGCTGAAGCTGGGTAAAGGTGGGCTTTGAGATGGGAGAGCCCTGCTAGTCCCATCACTTTCCACAGGTTGGTGAGGGGTCCCAGACTGGATTAAGGCATCCTCTGGGATGTCCTCAAACAGGCTGCATTGGTTTAGGTCTGTGGGGTGTTGTTACCATAGATTCACATGTTGTGAATCATAGAATCTCCTGAGCTGGAAGGGACCCACAAGAATCATTGAGTCCAAGTCCTGGCCCTGCCCAGGACACTCCAACAATCCCTCCCTGTCCCTGAGGGTGTTGTCCAAACGCTCCTGGAGCTCTGGCAGCCTTGGGGCCGTGCCCAATGCCCTGGGGGGCCTGTTCAGTGCCTCACCACCCTCTGGGGCAAAACTTTTTCCTGATATCCAACCTAACCCTCCCTTGACTCAGCTTCATGGTATTCCCTTGGGTCATATCCCTGGTCACCAGTGATCAGGTGTGAGAAGGAAGGAAAGGCTTCTCCCTTCCTCCAGGCATCCCATTGCAACCTTGTTGTCCCTTGCTGTCTTGGGTGACGACTGTTCAGCTCAGGATTACCCATGACAGCCCCATAAACTTCCTCTGGAGAGCATTTTAATAATTTTTGCTTCCTTTCACCAAGGGCTGGTTAAATACCTGAGACCATACCAGCTGAATGCAGGATGTGTTTTCATGGAGCAGCCCATGAGCCCCCCTGTCTCCTGGCTCTCTTTTTCCTCATGGCCTCACTCTAAAACCAAAGCAGGATGAAAGACACAGGAATCCTGTGCCGTGTGGGAGATGCTGAGCCCTTGACTATGTCAGAGCTCTTGTCTCTAACCCAGCCAACTCCTTCCAGGGCCCGGCTTCACTTTCAAGGCTGTGCTGTTGCTTTGGTGGGTGGTGGTTTTACAAAGAGGATGGTGATGGGGAGAGGGCTTTTCTTCTCATTTCCCGTCCCGTCTGGGCGGTGAATGCGGGGTTTTTGGTCGAGGGGTTTGGAGGAGCGAGGGGGGCAGTCAGTCGGAAACGCCGACCGGCCCCACTTCCTCTTGGTTCAGCTCCACCAGTTCCCCACAGCTGCTTCCATGGGAAGCTGCCTGGCTGAGGAGAATCCATACCTTCCCTCTGCAGTCGATCAATGAAATGCTGGAGTGTTTTGGATTCCTCTTTCCAGGAGAGAATAGTCCTCATTGTACGCCTGGAGAATAAAATAGCAAAGGGAGGGAGGGAGGGAGGCTCTTTCCTGTGCACGCTCCGACTCTCCTGGCTGAGAGGCAGCTTTGCTCACTCACATTTGAGTTTGGCAGTACTTGGGACTTTCTAAACCTTGCCTGAGTTGTGTCTGTCTGCAGAGTGCATGCCAGGTATGCTTTGCTCAATCTGATTGTGGGATGAGGGTGTTGGAGGCTAGGAGATCCCTGGGAAAGGATGAGAAGTGGGTGTTTAGTGAAAGAAGCATCAGCAGCCCTGATAGTTTGCTATCATGAGCTGTTCTCTGGGCACCGTCTCAGCCCCATCACTCCTTTGCAACTGGTGATCTCTTGGTCCTGCTTCTGCAAAAGATACTTCAAGATGAAAGCCTGGATTTCAAGTTGAAAACTCTCAGACAGGTGAATATCCTGAGTGTCTGAGAGGGATGACTACTTGGCTCAGCCCCTGAATGTCTGAATGCAAACTTGAAGCGCATCAAACTTTCTCCAGGCAGTGGGGGTTTCACACTTAGAAAAGCTTTCTGAGGTTTACAGCGTTTGCTGCTTCTAGTCACGCTGGAATTCAAAAGTGCAAAGGCCCATGGAAATGATTAATAAAGAACAAAAACCAGACTGTGAGACAGGTTCAGCTCCACAACGACCCTGAAATCATAGGCTTGCAGTAGTCTCATGCTTTGTTTAGGTAGATTTGCTCTTGTAGAGCTGGAAATTTTTCAAGCTGTATTCAAGCCCAGGTGCTGCTTGTATAAGGGTCGAGAATGTCTCCAGGTGT